GGGGGAAGGGATAGGTGCTCTGGTAGGGTGCCTGGCTGTGTGGGGGAAGGGATAGGTGCCCTTTGTTGGGTGCCTGGCTGTGTGGGGGAAGGGATAGGTGCCCTTTGTTGGGTGTCTGGTTGTGTGGGGAGGGGATAGGTGCTCTGGTAGGGTGCAGACAGTTTGTGTGGGGGAAGGGATAGGTGCTCAGGTAGGGTGCAGAGAGTTTGTGTGGGGGAAGGGATTGGAGCCCTTTGTTGGGTGCCTGGCTGTGTGGGGAAGGGATAGGTGCTCTGGTCGGGTGCAGACAGTTTGTGTGGGGGAAGGGATTGGTGCCCTTTGTTGGGTGCCTGGCTGTGTGGGGGAAGGGATAGGTGCTCTGGTAGGGTGCCTGGCTGTGGGGGGGGAGGGATAGGTGCTCTGGTAGGGTGCCTGGCTGTGTGGGGGAAGGGATAGGTGCCCTTTGTTGGGTGCCTGGCTGTGTGGGGGAAGGGATAGGTGCTCTGGTAGGGTGCAGACAGTTTGTGTATGGGATGAGCTATCACATCCTCCGGTATCCGGTATACAATTTACTCTATGTGGCTGTAAGTCCAAAACAAGCCGTTGTTCAGTCTGGTGGTGGAGCCGCCGCGCTCACTCGTCTCTTCCCTCCTCCGCAGGCGTCCAGCATTGAGGTGAAGCAGGACTGGATCAAGAACATCCGAGAGGTGATCCAGGAGAGAATGATCCACCTGAAAGGAGCGCTAAAGGAGCCCATCCAGCCCCCGAAGACCCCGGCCAAGCAGAGGAACAACAGCAAGAGGTAACGGACATGGATGTGTCATGGGATGTGTCATGGGATGTGTCATGGGATGTATCATGGGATGTATCATGGGATGATGGCAGACAAGTGTGAACATTGCGGAGCAGTAAAGAGTTTGTCACCGGCGTAGCTCCGGCCTTGTTGGTATTACTGGTCATAGGGACTCCACATGTGTGATCGCATCTCAGCCGTCATGTACCAGAGCTGCCACCAGGGGGAGACTGCAGAGCTCTGTGTTCTCTATCAGGAAGTATGTAAAATATGTGAGAATATAACATTTTCTTCCTGCCCCCACCCC